GCTTCCTGCTGCTCCCCGCAGACAAATCCCAGCTCCCAACAGAGCCTGCCGGCCGGAGCCCACAGCAACAAACAGGCATCGTTTCCTCCAGTGCTTTAGTGTGAGATGCAGCAGGGATTTCCCAGTACGAAAGCCCTGATGGCTGTGTGTCCTTCCGAGTGGTCCCAGCGGAGCGTTGCACGTGGCCTGCAGAGAGCATTTGGAAAGCTGCCCAGTGCCGGGCTCCAGGTCACCCTGGCCGCTCTGCAGCCTTGGCGATCACAGCCTGGGTCTTCCATCCCGTTACCTGGCCCCTCCCAGTCCCTAGGGGAAAAGGAGATCTTGACATGCAATGGGGACAAGTCTCATCTGTTCTTGATTCTAGATGACGCTGATGCTCCTTATGCAGAGGATTGGGTGGACACTGCTTTTGTGCCTCAGGGGAACCCCAGAGGTAAGTTGTGTCTGTTTCCTTGAATGCAGAAAAAGCAGCGCTGTCGTAGTTTATGCAGGTACTGAAGAACCTCCAAAGGTCTTTCAAGTCTCTTTGTGCCTTAAAGGCCCTGTTCTGTACACAGAACAGTCCTGAGTATTTCTTTACTTGGCGAACTTCCCATTTCAGTGGGAAAGCAGCCCTGGCCACTCTTTGGAGGAGAGAACCTCTACGTTTGCCGTTTGGACCATGTCTTTCCCCGACCTGCCACCAGTCCTCAAAGGTCACTGCAGAAAGACCAGGCGCCAAGGTGCAATGGAAACTGTCCTCACCTGTGTCTGATCACATTTGTGCCTGCAGGTCTTCTCGGTGAAGTACCAAAGCGGAGTCCTGTTGCTGAGCATGGACTGGATGCCAGAGGTGAGCCACCAGCCTTCATCTCACGCTCTCTGCTCGTATGTGGTTGTGGCAGTTGAGGCAGGGTTCAGCTTTTCACTGCCCGGTGATTTCTACTCCCTGTTTGTTGGGTGCTGCGAGCTCCCAATGTCCTGTTGGCTTCGTCTCTGTACATCACAGATCTCTCCAGTAAGAAAACCCAGATGTTCTTCCATGCTGTCTCTGAGGATTGTTTCACACAACCTGGACAGAGTATCAGGAAAGCTGCTGAGTGCCAGGCGGCTCCCACCTGGCCCCTCTGCAACTTGCATAACTCTGCTATGCAGCTGCGTAGATGGCAGCGTGTGATGGAAAGTTCTCCTCAGCCTTTGGGTGCAGAAGTGCCTGCAGGGAAGGCCGGGCAAAAATCCTTGGCTGCCTGCCGTGCTGGAGCCCCAGGCGTCCCAGGGGTGGCTGTTGTCTTTATTGACTTCACCAAAAAGAACATTCGGTTCAATCCTTTGTCTGAAATGTTTTTTCGTGCTTTCTGTTAAGGTCCTGAGATCTGGAAAGAGACATCGAGAACTGGAAGATACTCTCAGAGGCTCTCCCATGTCCTGAAGAAAATCATGAAGGAGAAGGCAGCACACGGTGGGTGTCGCTCTGTTCACTGAAAGACTGGGGAAGCGGAGTTTCTAGGTAGATACATGGAGAAACTGTAATGTGCCCAGCAGGACAGGATGGATCAGAGCCCTCTGATCTGAACTGGCTGGTGGCATCATCTTGCAACTTGCTAGAATTGCACAAGAAGCCTGCCTGCAAGCTGCTGGTCTCCCAGCAGGACAGGTCTTGCTGTCTGTGCTCGCAAACTGGGAAGTGTGCAGCACTTGAGTTTGTCTCACAGGATGGCACGCAGTTTGGAGCAGGAATGGGTTGCACCACAAAAAGCCCAGGCTTTGTTCCTAAACTCTACTGACGTGTCTAGAGAACTGGTGCCTCCTGCAGAAACCATCTTCCTGATGAGAAGCAGTTACTTACAGCCCCACTCTCTTACCTCCTTTCTAAAGAGGCAGACGGAGAGCCTGAGCACAGGGATGCATTTCAGGCAGGCAGCCGTCGCACAGCGCACGTCCCTCCGGGAGAAACAGAGGCCAAGCACACGACTGGCGCTCCAGGTAAAGCCCCTCCTAGAGCTCCGTGGCTGTGGTCAGAGGTTGCTCCCCTCCCATCACCCCCAGTTCCCAGGGATTTAGGAACTTTGGCCAGGGGAACCACATTCAGCAGGTGAGGAGAGGAAATAGGACCCTCCGACGTACCTCCCTCGCACAGTCCCTGCATTCCAGAGCTTGCTGCGCCTCCCTGGAGGCGCCTGGCACACCAGCAGCCTGCAACGGGATCCCTCCTGCAAACTGAGCTCCAGAGGGACGCACTGACTCCCTAGAGGGAGCCCCCCCCATCCTGCCTCCTCTTTGGCTGCACCACGCTGAGACTTTGTCTTTCTCTCATCCTTCACAGTGCTGTTAGAGCCCCAGGAAGCCCAGTACAACTGGATCCGTGGTTTTTTTCTGAAGAATCCAGGTGAGCATCAATCAGGCAGGAGTTCATAAAGGGGAGAAAACTCGGAGCCTGCAAGTTGTGCCCACACCAGGGGAAAGGCAAAAAGGGAGAGGCAGGTTCAGGTGCCTGTAGGGAAGGCCTGACTCTGCCTCCGAGTGGGTTCCCAGTTGGAGGGGGGAGCTCAGGGCTTGTTCTTGTCCATGTCACTCATAGCACAATTGGTTAAAGAGATCCACACGCTCTCCTTCTGCTCTAAGGAGTTTTCTTTAGTCAGACAACGTGCCCCAAGCGGTCACGGTGTGCCTGCAGCAGCACTGCCCAGCCTCACGACGCGAGGGTGGGCGAGTGCAAAAGCAATCTTAGAGCATGATGGAGAAGAAGGAGCAAATCCATGGCCCAGGAACATTTGGACGGAGGCAGAGCCAGAGTGTAAACAAAGCTGAGAGGCAGAACAGAGGCTCCAGAGGGCGCTGATGTGCAGCGCCTTTGGGAACTCCCTTAGCTTCCCCTGGAATCAGGGAAAGCATTGCAGCCGGAGGATTTTCACTTGTTCCAGGAGGCCAGCAAAATGAGAAGAGCATTTTGTGGCCGTGTCAGAGCTGCTGCGAGATTGCCGGTATGGCACGAGACACAGCAACGACCACTTTATTCCTGCAGGTGTGGATGACGAAGGACGTGCGAACACCAAGCAAGTTAAAGATGCACAGAAGTTGTACCTGGAACTTGCCGCATCTGTGCCGGTTTCCCTGTTGCTAGTGATGATTCTGTGCTGCGTTCTTTTCTGGTGGTGCAGGAAGAGGAAGCAGTGAGTTGTTGTTCACCCCCAGCCCCATCCCGCCCAACTCTTTACTGCAGGGCTGCCGTGAGCCAGGAGGCATTTGTAGTTAAAGCAGCACAGAGAGGCGGGTCAGCCGTTGGCTCACATGGTCTGGGATCTGTGCTGTCAGACGTTGGAGTGGCGCGGCCATTCCTGCAGCCCGTTCTTAGTGCTGGGCCTGAGACGGGCTGAGAGCCGAGGGCGGCTCTTTGCCATGAGGAAGGAGAGCAGGGGCTCTGCTGCGCCCTCAGCACGTTCTTCTCTCCGCAGGCGCCTCGCTGCAGCTGACGGAGCGCGGGACGATAGCAGCAGCTACAGCTCGCCGTCAGAGGAGGAGTCTGCTGACCTCGAGTGGCCCGACAGACGGACAAACCACCAACCATCTGTGAGGGAACAACCTGCCCACCAGCCGCAGGGCACCAGCAGAGCGGCCCCTGCCAGGCTGAACAGCCACCGGGCTCAGCTACCCCCGCCTCGACCCCCGCGGCCCCGCATCCCGGGCTCTGCATCGCGGGGGATCAGCGACAGGCCCAGCAGCCCCCGGCCCCAGCGGGCATCAACGCCGCCCCCTCGTCCTCCTCCACCATCCTTCAAGGGACAGAAGGAACCAGCCGGGGGTCGAGGCTTGCGGTCATCAGCCAGCACCAAACCGATTGCTCCCCAGCAGATGAGAAACAGGCCCAGCAGCCCCCGGCCGCAGCGGGCATCAACGCCGCCCCCTCGTCCTCCTCCACCATCCATCAAGGGACAGAAGGAACCAGCCGGGGGTCGAGGCTTGCGGTCATCGGCCAGCACCAAACCGATTGCTCCCCAGCAGCTGAGCGACAGGCCCAGCAGCCCCCGGCCGCAGCAGGCATCAACGCCGCCCCCCCGTCCCCCACCACCATCCTTCAGAGGACAGGAGCGGTCTCCTCAGCATGTCGGCTCGGGGGCATCGTCCAGCACATGGATAACTGCTGCCTCGGGGGAGCCTGAGAGACCCAGCAGCCCCCAGCCCCCCCCGGCACCACCTCTGCCCCCCTCCTTCTCTCCATCATCCTTTAGGAGGTGGGAGCAGCGCCCCCAGGTTCTCAGCTCGGGGGCATCATCACACCCCTGGAAAACCACTGCCAGGGGGAAACAGACCAGGCCCGGCAGCCCCCAGATCCCCCCAGCGCCGCCTCTGCCATCCCCGTTCCCTCCATCACCTGTCAGGGAATGGAAGCGATCCGCGCAGAGTGCCGACTTGGGGAAACGGTCCGACCGGACAGCCGCTGCCAGGGGGAAGCAGGACCGGCCCAGCAGCCCCCGGCCTCCCCGGGCGCCGTCACCAGCCTCCCGTTCCCCTCTGCGATCCTTCAGGAGACGGGAGTGGCCCCCCCAGGCCTCCCCGCTGCCCTCCCCCTCCTCTCCACCATCCTTTAGGAGGTGGGAGCAGCCCCCCCGGGGTCTTGGCCTGGGGGAATTATCCAGCAGACCGACAACTGCGGCCTGGGGGAAGCGTGAGCAGTTCAGCAGCCCACAGCCGCCCCGAGCACCATCCTCTCCCTCCCCTCAAGCATCTTTCAGGTGGTGGGAGTGGCCCCCCCGGGGCGTCAGCTCAGGGGCTTCATTGGATAACTGGAAGACCACTGCCAGGGGGAAACAGACCTGGGCCAGCAGCCCCCAGCACCCCCCAGCACTACATCTGCCCTTCCGCTCCCCTCCACTCTCCATTGGGAGGTGAGAGCACCCCCAGCATGTGGGTTTGGGACACCGTCGGACATCTGCAGAACCGCTGCTGTCATGTACCTGAGATTACCAATAAACAACATAACACCACAGCTGTCCACGTGCTGCTGTGTCATTACCTGACCCGCTGCCAGGCCTTGTGTGCCACTTGGCAGACGGCGATCATACGAGTGGGAATGGCTTTAAACTCAAAGAGTGCAAATTGAGGTCGATGTGCAGAGGGAATTCCTCTCCCAAAGGCAGCGAGGCCCTGGCCCAGGGTGCCCAGAGGCTGTGGGTGCCCTACAGGACAGGGGACAAGGGTGGGAGTGCATGATGCAAAAGCACCAGCGCTCCTGCGTAAGGTTCAGCACACAGCAGGCACCATCCTGCTCTGACCAGCAGGCAACCATTCGCTCTGCAATAGGAACCAAGCAAGAACTACTAGCACATTTTCTTCCTTTTCTTTTAGATTGGCCACTGCAGTAAAGGAGAATAAGAAATCCTTTTACAAATATATCAATGGCAAGAGAAAAACCAAGGATAATCTCTATCCTTTAATTGATGTGGCGGGGAATGTGACCACAGATGACAAGGAGAAGGCTGAGGTCCTCAATGCCTTCTTTACATCTGCCTTTAATAGTCAGACCTGTTATCTTCAGGGCACTTTGTGCCCTGATCTGGATATCTGGGCTGACACGCAGCATGTCTCCCCGGAGATGGAGGTGGAGGCTGTTAGGGAGCTCCTCCTCCATCTGGACAGTCACAAGGCCATGGGACCGGATGGGCTTCATCCTAGGGTGCTGAGGGAGTTGGCGGGGGTGATTGCTGAGCCGCTCTCGGCTCCTGGTTGACTGGAGAGGTTCCAGAGGATTGGAGGCTTGCTGATGTGACTCCCATCTACAAGAAGGACCGTAAGGAGGATCCGGGAAACTACAGGCCTGTCAGCCTGACATCAGTGCCAGGGAAGGTCATGGAACAAATCCTCCTGGGAGAGATCACACGGCTCGTGCGCGACGTCCATGGGATCAGGCCCAGCCAGCACGGGTTCATGAAAGGCAGGTCGTGTTTGACCAACCTCATCTCCTTCTACGACTGGGTGACCAGACTGGTAGATGAGGGAAAGGCTGTTGATGTCGTCTACCTAGACTTCAGCACAGCCTTTGACACGGTCTCTCACAGTATCCTGCTGCAGAAACTGGCTGCTCGTGGATTGGAATGTTTTACCCTCCGTTGGATAAGAAACTGGCTGGAGGGCCGTGCTCAACGGGTGGTGGTCAATGGAGTGAAGTCTAGCTGGAGATCTGTTTCAAGTGGTTTCCCCCAGGGGTCGGTGCTGGGGCCCATCTTGTTTAATATCTTCATTGACGACTTAGATGAAGGCACTGAGTGCATCCTGAGTAAGTTTGCAGATGGCACCAAGCTGGGAGGTGGTGTGGATGTGCCTGAGGGCAGGGAGGCCCTGCAGAGGGATCTGGATCAGCTGGATCGCTGGGCCAAGGTGAATGGGATGAGGTTCAACAAGGCCAAGTGCCGGGTCCTGCATTTGGGCACAACAACCCCATGCAGCGTTACAGGCTTGGGGATGAGTGGTTGGATGACTGTGAAGGGGAAAGGGACCTGGGGGTGTTGGTTGGTGCTCAGCTGAACACGAGCCAGCAGTGTGCCCAGGTGGCCAAGAGGGCCAGCAGCATCCTGGCCTGCATTAGAAATGGTGTGGCCAGCAGGAGCAGGGAGGTGATTGTGCCCTGTACTCAGCACTGGTGAGGCCGCACCTCAAGTGCTGTGTTCAGTTTTGGGCCCCTCACTACAAGAAAGACAATGAGGCCCTGGAATGTGTTCAAAGGAGGGCAACAAAATGGTGAGGGATCTGGAGCACAAGTCTTATGAACAGTGGCTGAGGGAGCTGGGATTGTTCAGTCTGCAGAAGAGGAGCTCAAGGGAGGCCTCATAGCACTCTGCAACTTCCTGAAGGGAGGCTGTGGTGCAAAAGGGTCTGGCCTCTTCTCCCAGGCTAATAGTAGGACCTGAGGAAACAGCCGGAAGTTGTAGCAGAGGAGGTTTAGGTTGGACATGAGGAGAAACTTTTTCTCTCAGAGGGTGGTCAGGCACTGCAATGGCTGCCCAGGGAGGTGGTGGAGTCGCCGTCCCTGGCAGCGTTCAAGAGGCGCCTGGATGAGGAGCTACGAGATGTGGGTTAGTGCTTGTGGTACTGATAGCAATGGGAGGGGGGTTGGACTGGATGATCTTGCAGGTCGTTTCCAACCTTATGATTCTGTGATTCTGTGATTTTGGCTCTGTGGGCTGGATCGAGAATCTGAAAGTGGAGAGAGACGGGAGGAAGGCAGTGCTGCAAACCTGGTGTGCCTGCTGCCACTGCTCACTGTGACTGCAGTCACCTTCTCAGAGGCGCAGTCCATCGTGCTGCCAGAAGCGGAGCTCGGCTGCCAGCATTGCACCCTGCAGCTCCTCCCAGCACCTGCCCTGCGTCACTGATTTTCGGGATCCTGCAGGGGGTGCAACATTCCCCTGTTTCCTCCCAGCTCTCAGCGCTCCTCAGGAGCTGTGGCCACAAACAAAGCAGCCATCAGTCAGCTGGAAAAGGAAGGAAGGAAGGAAGGGAAGGGGAAGGAAAGGAAGGGGAGGGAAGGGAAGGGGAGGGAAGGGAAGGGAAGGGAGTCCTTTATCACTGGACTGTCAGCTATT